TTCTGATTATCATATGTTGGCAACTATAATTACTAACAGGAATTTTTCCCCCTCTGGGCATTAAACTTTATGCTGGAGCAGCTGAATAGTTTCATAGCCACACTAAGCTGTTTAAAATGCAATCTTACAGTAGGCTATTTTCTACAGAGAATTCTTTTCTTAAGGGTGAATAGCGGTTGCCTTGCCACCCAGTTTTCTAAATGGGTTCTAATGTTCCCTTTGCTTTTCAGGTAAGATTTTTCTCCTAGGTTTTTCTCCCTCCCTCCCCCCATCTCTCACTCTTTCTCTCTCTCACACACACTCATCACACTGGAATTACAGATGTTCTAAAGATCATTTTAATTTAGTTAATTAAAATAATCATACATTCTGATTTCCAACACAATAAAATTTGTAGTCCAGTGTTAATATTTCTTTTTTAAAAGATGGAGTTATTTTCGTAAGTTTTGTACATTTCTGAGGCAATGAATAAGGGTTAGAATTGAAAAGATTACATTTCTGAAGCATATCTGACTATAGTTGGAATAAATTTAAATTATTCTTTAAATATATTTTGTACTATTTTATCAGGTATTAAGTAAATAAGCATAATACTTGTTCTCCTGAATTTATAATCACAGTAGGATTGGAATTTCTGTTATAAGTCAATGCAGTCACAAAGCAAGTTTTCATGTGAGCAGTCCCAATCTTATTACAATTTTTACCATGGTAATTAAATAAGTCAGTTGTTAAGTATAATAGTATATATACCTGAACAATCAATGGATAGCAGTTTGGCCAATATAGATTTTACCAGAGAACAATCCAGATTAAAGAGTCTATGCAGTCCCAAAATAGATGAAGGAGGGGGTAAAGAGCTTCAAGGCAGCAGCACCCTAGAATCTCTCAGGATATATCTAGTAGCTAAATAAAAGGTTAACCTTGACTGGATTTTGCTGTGTTCCTTTTAGCCTTAGGCCTGACATTAAGTGAACTACATAATCATTAAGCAAATCTGGCCTTTTGAATTGACTTTGCTTGTTGGAAACCAGCTGGGAAGATTGCAAATCATCATCACATGAATGCAAGATGTCCCAACCATTGTAAATGTAAATAGCAACCAAATTACAAAATTACAATCACCTGACCATGGGGGTGGTATAACATAAATCTAAGATATCTGGAGGTCATTGGTATAGAAAAAATGAAGCATTGATGGATATTTCATTTGTCCATCAATAAATAAATATATCTATATATCTAAAACAGAATTGCAGAATACAGTTGCAGAGTTTTCTCTCAAAACCTAAAATAGCATCTACAATCATGTTTATTAATTATGTGTTTTAAATAAATTTTAACTATTCTTATGCCACATTTCTTTGTTCTAATGGAGCCCATACACAATTCAAATAGCAATTGTTTAAGACCATTTATTATTTAGTAATAAATAAATGCCATTTTTTTTCTTTTTATGATCTTGTAATCCCTTTTTATCAGGGTGGAGTCAGAATGACTAAATGGAACTGAGCATTTACTGGTCGGATGCCCTTCTTGACACCTATGTGGAGTTCGCAGCAGATATTTTCCCTTTGTACCTTGATAGAGTAAATTCTCCAAATACTTTTTAAAATTTCATTGAGCCCTTCACTTATTCATGCTATTTTAGCCACTGCCCATGCAGTAATTTAGTGAACAACACAGCACATAATGATTGAGCAAAGCAGCCATGCAACCACAATTTAATAAAATTGCATGGATATCTGCACACACAAAAATCATGACAAGGTTGTTCATATGTTAGCTGGAATTTGTTTTAGAATCCTAGTTTATATGGAAATTAACACAAAAAGGGGTCCCTGAATAGGCTTCTTCAGGTGAACATGTAGCAGCCAGGATCAAGATTGACAATTCAGCCCCGTTACTAGACAGACCTACATAGTAATGTATATATTGCCAAAATTATAGTAATTCTGGAAACAGAATTTTCTGCAGGTGTTGAAGTGAAGTCATGTAAAGCAAGTGCTACTGATATGGTATGTGATAAAATCTAGTATCTCTGATCTATTTGAGAATCATTTGGAAATACTGTAATTTCTTTTGGTAACTTCTCAAAGTGAGTTTTTATTAAAACAATTTGTATTGCATTTTAACAGCAGATTGAAAATATGTTCATTCATTCATTCCCTTTGGCTTCAAGAGTGCCCTCTTGTGGTACTATATAACTAAAGTATGTATGCAAGACATTTTCTAACAACTCTGTTCAGTTAATGGCTACCACCTCTGTAAATTAGCAAAAAAAAGAACTGAAATAAATACTAAAATAGGGTCTGATATGCAAATAGATATAACTTGCATACATGTTTTCAAATCACGAGAAAAGGAGGTGGATGAGAAATCAATGAATGTAGCAAGAATACAAAGCTGAGAATAAATATATTTCTTCAGTAATAGAAGTATGTTAAAAAAGTGTTAGTTCAATACAGAGTTTAATAGGTTCTGAATAGATTAATGTGTTTGCCTTGGCAACTGTGAAAATGGTGGAAACAATAGCTTAAGATATTACCTTGAGGGAGGAATATCTGAAAACTGTCACATATTAAAACGCATAGAAGGAATAAATGGAAATGCCAATAATTCCATATGTATGGAATTATAAGTCTCCTATAAGAAATATTATATTTGATGAGGTAAAACTACCATATTTTTCAGACTATAAGACTCACTGGAGTATTAGATGCACCAAGATTTTGAAGTTTCTGCACTCAGCTGGCCTCCCAAACCCTTTGCACACCTTGTTTTATGTGAAAAACTGCAAAGTACTCCTGGGGGTGGGGTGGGGGGCAAAAATGAGCAAAAAACATCCAATTTTTTCTGAAAATGGGCCCATTTCTTGCAAAAAACAGGGCTTGCATAGGCTTTGGGAAGCTTGTAGAATGCTCCCGGAGGCTGAGGAGTACAAAAACAAGCAAAAAACAGCCCGCTTTTTGTGAAATACACTGAATACAGCATTTTTGGCCTCCTGAAACCCTGCCTCCTTTGCAAAAATGGACGTGCAGGGGGTTTAGAAGGCCTCCTAAACCCTATGCATGTCCATTTTTGCAAAGGGGGCAGGGTTTCATGAGGCCAAAAATACTGTATTCAGTGTACAAAACACACCCATATTTTCAACCTCTTTTTTGGAGAAAAAAGGTGCGTCTTATACTCCGAAAAATACGGTATATGGTATATTTGTGTTTAGTGCTGAGTTTCTCTTATCTCGTAGGAAGAAATGGTATTTCTTAATTAAACAATTGAAATTATCTGACTGATAGCATTCTAAGAAGGCTGTACTATACATAGGCATCTTTTTTGCATAATGCTGCAACAGCTGATTTATTATTTTTGGAAGACATATTTAATCTTTTGTACTGAACGCTTGCCTCTACTGTTGTACAGGATATCTCTGTATTCCAGTAATGTCTTCTCTAACATTATGCTATTAATATCTTGTTTCTCCCTAACTTTCCTTTGCTAAAAAAACACCCCATCACTGTTCAGTTTTTTGTGTAGTGTATTTGTTTTATTAATTCTAAATATAATCCTTTTCACTGCAATTTATATTATGTTGCTGATGATAGTTATTTCCAGCATTCTGCTGAAGTAGTCATGCAATAATATTTTGATACCTTGTGTATGAAATTTCTCTTAAAGACTTTCAAAAATGCTGTTACAGACTACATTAGTGCTAAGGCTACACAATTTGTACTCGAGGGAGACATATAAATATATTACAGATCATGCTAACCTTAAGCAGTAACAGATGCTTTAATAAAGAATCATTTGTATTAATCTAGATCAGTTTAGGAATGTTAACATAATCACAATAAACATATTTATTGATGTATTTGTATCATGCCTTTTTAATTTTTCCAAATAAATCAAGATGGCAAACATTTCCAACACAACTTCCTCCTATTTTCCCCACAACAATAACCCTGTGAGGTGACTGGACTGAGAGAGAATGACTGGCCCATGATCATCCAGTTGGCTTTCATGATATGGGCATTGGCTTTAGAAAGAAATAATATAAATGCCTCTGAATACTAAACAAAATTAATTTGCCTTAGTTTTCCAAGGTCTTGAGATATTATCACGAGACCTCAATTGAAGATTGAAAGTTTTCCATTCCTTTTCCATTGAAAGAATGAATCACTGGATATGAGCAACCATATAAGACTGTTGTTGAACTTGTTCGTCTGGTACAGAAGGCAGCAGTCCATGTTCTAATGGGTGTAAGTTGTTTGAAGCACATTATTCTACTGATTAGAATAATGGCTGTCAAGATCTTACATTAATTCCAGAGTATAAACTTGCCATTTAGAACTGTCCGTTGCTTTGGATCTATCTTGAAGTCTGCCTCATTTCGATGCCATGCAACAATTTATACCATTAACTTAAACTCTCCCCTCACTGTATTATCCTTGTGCAGAATCCATATGACAGGAATTGCAGAAAGAATAATTCTTGGTAGCTGCTCAACCAGTTACAGAATTTTCTTCCCTTGGAGACTTACTAAAGTACATGGACCTTTCGGAAGCATTGTAAGATGTTTTCATTTGGTCTGGCTTCTAGTGATTGGGCCTAAGCCATTAATAGGGTTATTAAAACTTACATTAAAACAATTTCAATGTAAAAGTAATATTACTGTGCCTTAATTTTTAAAGTATTTTTATGAATCTCATACTGGATAAAACACTCACTTTTCAATGTTTATGTGTCTTAAAATCTGATTTTAGATTTTTAGAACCGAGGTGGCGCAGTGGTTAGAGTGCAGCACTGCAGGCTACTTCAGCTGACTGCAGTTCTGCAGTTCGGCTGTTCAAATCTCACCGGCTCAAGGTTGNTTTTATTCTAAAATAGTTGGAGTCAGCATAGCACAAAATGAATGTGTGTTTTGCCTGGATACTCTTTTATAGAGTCTTGCATTATAATCCTGACAATATTTTTTTTTGTCTGGGCTTTTTTGACTCTCTCTTCAGTCATGTCGGTGGAAACAAATTGAATTGGGAAAAAATAGGAACTCAGTCAGAAAATCAAGCATGTGGGGATCCAGGACACCAATCAAAGGTAGTGTTTTGAACAATATTAACTTTGTGTATATGTTTTAATGATTATTTGGTAGCGGACACAGAATCATCTAAAAGATGAACCCATCATTTTTCCTGGATGATACAAATTGAGCTCCATCCACTGACCAGTGAAGCAATGTTTTCGCTTTCTTCTGTACAAGAAAAAAATATTCTCTGACTGCTATTTGACTAGAGCAGAAGAAAAGTAGTCACTAGTGTCCACAAATGCTTAGAAGGCTGGGCAGGTTGTAATCTAAAACTGCCAATGAAGTAGTTTTATTAATGAGAGAGTTTTCTATGCTTACTGGTGTAGAACTGTTGTATTTATTTCTCAGTAAAAACATGAATTACGTTACCTGAGGTAGGGAACAATCAGATTGCATCTAAGTGATATACTTTGCTGTGCATAATAATGAATGTAATTTTAGGAGAGGTGAAGAATAGACTTGAGATTCTGATACTTATTTATTCTTTATGGCATCAAACAAATAACTGCAGTATGTAACCAGATTTATTTTTATTTTCCTACTGAGAATAATGTTTATCGTGGCAAGGGCACAAATAGAAAAACAAAGTACGATAAGTTTATTCAAAAACTGTAATAAACTAGTTTTCTTTAAAATTTGGCTTATCTAAGAATACTACTTTATATAATTGAATCTTGTTAAGTGTCCCATTTTAGCTGTTCCTGCTAAAGAATATGACTGATACAAGGTTTTAAAATCAGTTTGTACTGATAAGAAAATCACCTAGCCAAAATATCTTTTTTTTTTTTAAAAAAAAAAGGAAGGCTTAGTCTAGAAAGGTTGATTTATATATGATTCACATATAGAAATACTCATCATCATCCCTGGCAATTACACTGTCCTAAATCAAAGAGGAGGCACCCGGCTTTAGTTTTTCTTTTCTCTCATATCCTTGTTCCTCCTCAAGTGTATATTGTAATGGTTCAAACTGATCACTTTAAATCTAGTGTTGAAAAATGTGCAGTGCATAATGCAAAAATGTGCACTAATGCAAAAAACAAACAAACCCTGACCTCACCTTACACAGTGGGTTGTCAAGGTTTTTAGCATCTGTCTAACATCAAGATTTCCTCCATTGGCAGGGGAGCTGCTATCCCCACTTCTTTAATCCATAAGTTGGTTCAGTCAGTAGAAAAATATATGACTTCTTAAATAGTAAATAAAGAATGCAGAATAAAAGTAATACCCTGTTTCCCTAAAAATAAGATCTAAACGAATAATAAGTGCAATCGGGCTTTTGAGCGCATGTGCTAAAATAAGCCCTCCCCTAAAATATTTAAACACATGCGCAGCCGGTCCCCACCATTTCCTGGGGGAGAGAGAGCAACATGTCCCACAGAACCTGTCTTCCATGCGGAATGGCCTCATGGAGGCAGCTCCTGCAAACTCTAGCTACCCCCTCCCCCCAGTCTTAGTGGTTGCCACAAAAAGAGCAGCAGACCCAGTGACACTAGGCCTGGCAAGAATGTGCCAGAAACAGAGACAGAACTTCTTGCCCTCTCTGGATCAGCTGATCTGCGGGCCACGGGCTGAGGTTAAAGGACCTCCTGCACCTCAGAAATAACAAGACCTCAAAAATAAGGCCAAGCACTTATTTCGGGAGTCAAAAGAAAATAAGATCCTGTCTTATTTTCGGTAAAGTACGGTAATGCTTGATATACAAACGGCAATGCAATTTTTATCAAAATATTAATTTTTATAAAATATTAAATGTTTAGGAACTTTATTTCAGATGTAGAATTCTAAACAAGCCATTTATAAAAAAATCAAAAGGAATTCAAACTGTTCAAGATATATCATTCATGAATATTATACAATTATAGAAGAATGAAGTCATTATGAAGACATGGTCTCTTCATTCTCAGCTTCACCTCTTCTATGCTGTAAAATTGTTGTTTGTTCTATTTTCTGTAAATGTGTTGCAAATGTGATTGAATATACATACAGCCTTCTGGTTCTTAAGATTTCACAATATTCTCATTGTAAAAATGATTTTATTGTATATTGTAGGTGGAAGGTTCCTCTACTGTTTCTTCAGGGAATCAGGCAGCTGAAGTTAAAGGGAACCAAACCAGTAGTGCACAAATCCCATGTCTGTTGTCAATGCCCACCAGGAACCATATGGATATTACCACTCCTCCATTACCTCCTGTAGCACCGGAAGTATTAAGAGTAGCAGAACACAGACACAAAAAAGGATTAATGTATCCCTACATATTTCATATCCTAACTAAGGTAAGATTTTCTGGCAAGAATTCCAAAGAGATTAGTGTTATCTTTTGCTTTTGGTTCATGTGTTGGAGAAAATTTGATTTAGTAAAATGAACAATATATTTGGTTCACATTTATTCACTTTACACAGTACTTTTTAAAGGAAGTTGGGTTTCCTTTGACAGTGTACTTTACAAGATCAATCCTATTCCTAGCTCGATGCCAATTGTCTTAATGGATGAATATATATGTCCAAAACAAATTTTGTGTTAGGTTGTTTTTAAGTCCTTGTTTTTCTTTTCTTTTTTTAATTTTTAATTTTCAAACATACAAATACAAAAAACTTAGACATAGACTACGTTTACATAATACATTGGAACTTCATGTTCCTTCTTATAGCAGTTTCAAATCGGTACAACTCTCTTTATGCTAATTCCCCTTCTAATATGTTTCACTTAAGTTTCACTATTTTTAACCCTCTTATTTCATTATCTTTTACTTATCTATCTAATATATTGGCTAATTACCTCTGATAAGTTTAATTTCTCTTGATTACATATGTATATATGATAATCCTCCTGAATGTCTACTTTTTGTAAATCCTCATTTTTCATTCAGAACAAATCTCAAAGCTCCTTCTTAAGTTTATCTATTTTAAAATGTGTTATTTCACATATTTTTAAATTTTGCCCAAATCATATCTTCCTTACATGCTACCATGTTACTTAGTGATACTCTTTGGAATCACATTTCTATCAAATGAGATCTAATTTTTTAATATATTTGAAAACAGTGGCTTTATAGAATTGGATTTTAGAAATATAGCTAAATTATAAATATACATTTGCATACAAACAAGAAAATGAAATTAGATAAACTGAATTTAAATTAAAAGGGCAGTGGTGAATGGAGTTGGGGTATTAAAGTTATTGTGTAAATACTAAAGGAACCACATTTGTACATCATATAATTATTTCCTGAAAGTTGTAAACCTTTCAGCAGGTAAAGATACCATGCCATAAATAAGATCCCTAAAAGCTGCTCATCATTTTGTTCATCTACAGGGTGAGATTAAAATTGCAGTTTCTATTGAAGATGAAGCAAACAAAGACCTGCCTCCTGCTGCTCTTCTTTATAGGCCAGTTCGTCAGTATGTTTATGGAGTCCTGTTTAGTTTGGCAGAAAGCAGGAAAAAAACAGAGAGGCTTGCTTTTAGAAAGAACAGATTTCCTCCTGAATGTATGTATTTGTCTTTTATTATAATGGTAAAATCACTTGAAATATATCTAATCTTTGCATCAGTTATGTAGAATAAACTGATTTAAATTTGCAAATATAAAAAAGCCATAATTTGCCAAGGTAATTCATTTTTCAGTTGCTCAGCATTTTTGTACCTATAGTGCAGGGGAATTTGGGGATGTGAAGCAATGTTTAAACAGCAGGTAGAACATCAAGATTGGAAATCAGCATTTTGAATCATGCTCTGAATGAATTAGAAGCACTACAATACTTTTAATTATTAAAATACAGTAAACATCACACTGGATTGGTTGCAATTTCTGAATATTCATCAGGAGTATGGACAATTTTGCATAGGCCATCCATAACCAAGGAGATATAGCATTTAAAATTATTTATATTTTTCAAAATCTTTCAAATTAAAATAATGAAAGTTACATTTTAGTAGTTTCAAGTAGGTACACCATGGAATCGTAGAACAGTCCAATCAAGAGAAGTGTTTTGCTTTTTTGAATGACTTACATGATGCTCCACTCAAATTTATAAATTTATACTGTATTGATTTTACTTTTAACTGGAATGAAGGTATTTGATGTGTATAAAGTATGCATAGCCCCACTATATATAATTTAGTAGATTTGTGTATAGGTTTTCTTAAAATGTAACCATTATGAAAAAAAATTCTGAATATTTCAGTTACACAAGAAAATATTAATTCCATCCCTATGCTAGATAGGAACAGACCACTTCATTGTATAATGGGAAAGTGATAAAATTAAGCTTGGGGAAAGATAGAGTTATTAATGGCAGGAGAAATTGAGGTTAACACAGCTCCACCCATCAAGATTTATTTTAAGCAAATCTGGCAAAATCATATCTTTAGCTGGGCTTTTGCCACTTTTCAAATGAAAATTTAGGGGGATGGGTTTTGTTTGTTTTAATTTCTGGCTTTGAGATCAGGGATCAGTCAGGGTAAAGAAGCAGATAAAGGAATGCCAAGAGAATCCATTCCAAAAGGAGCACTGAATAGTTTGCCAAAATATTTTTTCCAGGACTCTGAAGAAATTAAATCATTAAAACATGGAGCTAGGTTTATCTGAAGAGAGAAAAAAGATGCCAGAATAGATGATCACCCTTATTTTTTGGTGCTCGTTGAGCCCTTGTCCCATTCACTAATGAATACATTTTCTCTTCCTCTCTTGGGCATTTTCTATAACCTTTTTTTTAGTAAAAGAAAATGTCCATGAGAGGGTAGATCATTATAGAACTAGGCATTTCTATAAGCTGAAGTCACTGTAGCTTTGGCTTGAACTCAATCTTTATCAAACCAAGTTTTGTCCTTATCAGAACAATAATGGGTTGGAGTTTAATTGGATTTTAAATGGTCCTGAACTAAAACAGTAATTTTTTGAAGAGTGACAAAAATGTCATGAATATCACTGGTTGTGTAATAACCATTCTTTTGAATAGAATAAAAAGGCGGAAAGGTTGCACACTTTCCTTTCATTGAACTATGCTCCTTTCCAGAAAAATATAGCAACCTGGATTTATAAATATTAAATGTCTGTAATTCTGGCCATAGTTTGGCTTTATTATTTTTTCCTGCTGTTTTGTATTTCAGTTATTGTTTGCAATTTATACAGGATTTAATTTAATTTGGCAGAAATTGAAAGCATGTTTTAGTTGCTATATTAATATTAAAATCTAAGAAAATTACAAAAAGCAAAGAGGTGTTCAAATTATTATATACCAGGTCATTTCCCAAATATTTCAGAATCAGATGTGCTTCTGACATTGGAGAAAGTTAAGATACGTATTCTGGCATGGATCCTAATCACTTTTCCATTCATGCAAAAAAAAATGGGGCAGTTTCTGCAAATGTATCCCTCGATTTTCAGACCTTTTTACCATGGTCTATATCATCCCTTATGATTACCTAACAGGAGCAGATGGAGGACACGAAGATTCCAGTGGGAGATGGCAATGAAAATGTCCTTCTGTGGATGGGAACTTTATTCTCATTGCAGAAAAGAAGCTAGGGCATAGATCAGTGTGTTATTTTGCATTGATTATCATGAACAGTTGGTACTGGAAAGAGCCGAATCATGTTTAAAACTACCCTCTGCTGCTCCATTGTAAAACTAGCAATCCTGCCCACTGATAATTTGCACTTTTGAGGTAGTAGCCATCTCCCCTATTAACTCCCATTACATATTTTGGACAAGCTCACTATAATTATCTTGAAAATTCCAATTTAGCACACCACATCAAATAGCACTATAAAGCCTTGTTTGGACTTTGAAACTAAGCAGAATCAGACCTGATTAGTACCTTGATAGAAGATTACCAATGAATATCAAAACTGTAGACTAGATTGAGAAATCATCTGTAAGAAGACAATGGTGAACCACTTATGTTGCCAAGAAAGCTATTGGGTTGTTGTCATCAGGATATTGACCTCAACTCAAGGAATATCATATTTCCTTTTATATTGCAGTTTCATAGAATTGTTGGGTTGGTGAAGATTAAACCATCCACTAGAATTCAAATGTTCAAAACTGATTTTGGTTGGAGCTAATACATAGCATTACCAGACTAAGGGCTCCAACAATGATGAGTCTGAGATTGATTTAATTAGTTTATGGGATGAGTTTGCCATAAAGACCAAGAAAGAAAAGAAATAGATGAATACAAGAATATTGTTTCTTTAGGACTTCTTAGTAGTTTTCAGTACCATTAATCATTGGATCCTTTGGGTATTTGTATTTCTACTTGGATTCACTGTACATAAGGTGAAGCTGGGTGATTATTATTCTGTTCTGTGGCATTCACAAGGTACTTCAGGGTTTAGTTTTGTCCTGTTCAATGCTTATTAGTATGAAATGCCACTTACTATTTTTCATATAATCAAGGAGACATAGTGAATTTTTTAAGCTGGTCCCTGAGCAGGATAATGGGCTTCATGATGGCTAATAAATTAAAGCTTGTTCTAAGCATCCTGGAGGTGGATAGGTTGGGTTTCTTTTTTCATCCATCCATATTCTTCATTCTGCTATGGAGGAATTTTTGTCAATGAAGATACAAATGGCCTCAGTGGTTAGAGCTGCCTTTTATCAGCTCAATTTGATATGCAGGTTTTGATACACAAGCTGCAGCCCTCTTGGGCAGGCTAACTTGGGGTACTTTATACATGGGCTAGTAACATATGAACATTTAGCTATCTGTGCATATGGTTTTTGAATTTAGTTACTCCAAAATTCATCTACCAGATTATTAATCGAGAGAGGTTTCTGCAGTTCCACCATGTACTGGCTGCCAGGCCTAATTCAAAATGTTAGTGCTAACTGTTAAAGCCACGAACAACTAAACTGCCAACTATCTAGTGAAAAATCTCCTCAGAGTTTCTTACTTTCATCTTCAGAGGACTTCCTCAGGACCTCCTTACCATAGTTTCATATTTAGAAAACACCCTCCTCAAGGAGGAATGCCTGAAATCCACATGATGTGGTTATGCAATTATTTACAAAGACCTTCCCAGACACTGTAGATTTTAAACTTTCTAAAATGCAATTGCTGCATGTTATGTCTTTATAGCTTCTTGGTGGACTAAAATTCAGAAAATTCATCAAAAAATAGAGAGGTGTTATATGAGTAGCGGCTAGACATTGTCAATGAGAATGCATTTTGTAAGTTACAAGTGGAGTTCAGGTTCAGTGTAAGAAAGCAAATATTTTGAGGTTGATTCCTAGTGTAAGTCTTAAGTGTTATAAACAACAAAAGGTATGGGCAAAATGGCATTTGTGCATAAACTATTTTGTTTCCTTTTTTAAAAAAAATTCTACAGTCTCACCAGTGATAATTAAAGAATGGGCTGCTTACAAAGGAAAGTCTCCCCAGACTCCCGAGTTAGTAGAAGCACTTGCATTTAGGGAATGGACTTGCCCTAATTTGAAGAAGCTTTGGTTGGGGAAAGCAGTAGAGGACAAGAATCGACGAATGAGGGCATTCTTGGCCTGTATGAGGTCAGACACACCAGCAATGCTAAATCCAGCTAATGTGCCCACTCACCTAATGGTGCTCTGTTGTGTATTAAGGTGAGTATATTTTTGATTAATGTTAGCATATGGTAAAAATTCCTCTTGATAATGCTGTATGTATGTAATTATGTAAGAATATTACGGTTTTATTGATAGAACTTTTAATGTAACTTAGCGTAAATAATTCGTAGAACTGACATTTTTATCTAGACTAAACACAGCAAATTAAGACTTAAAAGTTTGTTATTTAGTTTACACAACAATTAAGAGGAATACATGGAAATACCTACTGGGGTGGAGAAAGTAGCAAAGCATCATTTCTTTTTTTAGGAACAATGGAAAAAACAAATTAGTTTAAAGAGAATAATATGGGGATGTAGGCTGAAAATATGTTGGGTGAATATAAATAGAAAGCAGTTTACAGAAGGCAATCTTAAAGCTCCCAGGGTGAACAGTTCTTGATTTTCAGCCATGTTGGTTTGATTCTAGCACTGAAAATGATGTGCTTAGTTTAGTTCCAGATTGCTTTAAGCCTCTTCTGCCATGATTTTAGTTAGGTTAGTTAACTTAAATATTCACTGACTTTTTAAAATTATCACAGGAAGACTACATAGGATCCAGAATGTTAAAAAAACCAAAAATCCTAATCTTTTATTAAATATATCCTATAGAAGTACTTTCTATCAAAATAACATATTTAGGTTTCAGTTTTGTAAAATCATGAGTTGAATTCAGAACATGTCTCACACAAATTTAAGGCCTTCTTTCATAAAAAGAAAGGGGAAGGAGAGGCTCTCCATTGATTTCTTCCTGGTACCTCTTTTCTGTTCTAGATTATGCTGGAACAGTTTCTGACTTTTCTGCCTCTTGCTCTCATAGGCTTAATTTTCCACACCAATAGTTTGGATCCACGTTGGGTGTAATTACAGTGCTTTAATTAACACTGTATCTTTGATTTGATTTTTGATTTTATTAGTATTTGTAGGCCGCCCTTTTCCCTGAGGGGACTCAGGGCGGCTCACATAAAATCGGGAAAGGGGAATACAGACGTTAAGATAGAGACATATAATAAAATAGTAAACAACATACATTCATCATTCGGGAGGGGCAACTATCCTTGTCCCAAGGCCTGACGGGCGAGCCAGTTCTTAAGGGCTGTGCGGAAGGCCTGGACGGTGGAGAGGGTACGAATCTCTACG